TCACAGAAGCCACCCCTATGCCCCACCCTGCCTCCCTTCCCCCCCCACCAAAACTTTGCCACACAAACCTAGTAACAGGTTTTTAAAAAATATTGTATTACTGCCATTGCTTATCTGCAGAGCAGTATCATCTTATTCATGGAACAGTGTGTCCTTTAAGAAAAATCTATAAAATCTTCTAAAAGACTTTTTTTGTAGTGCATATGTAGTTTTGTAGTGCATATGCACAGGAAGGCCCTTTTTATTAGACTTTTAATACTTCATTTTGTAATTTCTACTATTTAACCTTTGTTCTGTGTATGGATGTATACAGGCTAAAGAAAGTAACATAAGAAGAAGGCTCACTCCACAAAGTAATTAGCAACAACTTACAGTGCTTGAACTTTGGCATTTAGAAGTTAGGCATCTAAATCTAAGCTAGTAGCTCTAACCTTTTAGAGTTTATTTAGACATCTTCAGAGGATGGTTCCTGTCATCCCAAGATGAAGATGTAAGAAAAATTAATCACCCAAAGGAAGATCCTATTTCTCCTCCATTTGCTATAAAATATCTTGTAATACCTAAGGCTGAGCTCATTACCTCATGCTTTACTGCTCAAAACTAGGTAAAGTCAGTCCTGCTCCATTTCCCAGGTACTCTATAGACCTCTGGATACAACTAAGTGCTCTTAAAACCTGATGATTTCAATCAAGACAATATAAAACTTCATGAACTTTCTGTCAAGGAAAATAGAATGATTGAACTGACTTCAAATTAGAGTTACTATTTGTTACTGGCATCCTTCTAGGAGCTTTCTTTGCAAGCTCTTTTTCGACTTTCTTTGCATGATTTATCTTGCTGCATTGAATTTAAGGAGTTGTCCTTCACAACAAGGAATCTTGCTTTTTAGTTGTTGTTGTTGTGGGGATATTCTGTATACAAGTAGCCAAATACTTGTATAAGTATTCCTCTAGAAGCATTAGGAAAAAAAGTGTCTTGAAAGAACATCAAGAAGTTTTAACCTTTTTTGCTCCAAAGGAAGATGGGCCAGACAGTGATTCCTTCATGTGTTAGAAAAACTTTGTCTTTGAGAGTACACCCAAATACTGTTTGAGTTGCCATGTTCAAATGGTCACGCTTCTTCTTTACCTGTTCTCCAAGGCTTAAATTTAAGATACTTGTCCCGAGAGAGAGATCTAGTCTGTGACAAAGATCTAACTGAAACAGCAATGTGGAATTGATTGATGTATTTAACATTATTACTTACTTAATTGTTTCAAATTTCGTAGAAGTTATTTCTGAGCGCAGAGTTTTTATATGTCTTTATTTCTTTGAATTTTAAAAATGCCATAGGACTTGATTCTTCTCATTTCTCTTTCTCTTTTCTGACTAGTAGAGTTGCCTGACATGTTTTTGAGAGACAGTAGAAATGTGGTAACCTTATCTCTTTTACTTTTCTGTTAAAAGACTGTGTTTGGCAATTCTGGTCACCCTGGAATCAGACTTCTGAATTGTATTTGTGGGAAATAAATATTGTATAATAGAATATATTGGAGTTTTATGTTTTAGGAGGAATCATAATTTACAAAATTGTGCAGAGTTTATCAAGTTTTCAAATACTGTTACTAGAATAAGCTCTTAAAAGGGAGCAGCTGGTGCATACCCATAGGTACTGCTTCCCAGAAACCATCTTGATCTCCCAAAATCTTTTTCTGAAAGTATCTGGTCACATCCAAAGATTTGCCATACATACTGTCTTGGAGATAAGAAGATAAGTACCAAATTTTTGTTTTGTGTAATGTATATTGTTTATTTGCTTGTGCACTGAACTACACAATACTGCATGTTTACTATGTTACTTGGAAAAACTAATATTTCAGCTGCTGGTTAAACAGTATTACACATCATAATGCAAACTTAAATTTCATAATATAAAAGGCTTCACTAAACAGAATTGAATTTCACATTCTAGAATATGTACATAAATGTCAATATTATTGTTACAAAAAATATGTGTTTTTATTTTTACAGCAGGTAATGAATATGAAGAAGATCTTGAGATACTTGAAGAGGCTGCCTTACAGGTATACTGCAGCTTTTTATCCATTGCAACATACTTAAATACATAATCACATTTAAACTTTTTGACTGCTACAGGAGAAAGTCACTTGTAAGGTTTTTATAATAGAAGGCAATCCAGCTTGTTATGAAAGAGTTTAAGAAAGTCTCACAGAAGTTTAGTATTTACATTAAATCTTCTTTATAATAAATCTACTTAGGAAAAAAACCACATAAAATATCACATAGAAAGTTAGATGACCAAGTTGACTGTTTTGAAATTCAGTTGTAACAGTACTGGCTGGAAAAACATATCAGTGCTACAATATGACACCATTGCATAGGCGTTAGATGACATAATAGTAAACAGAAAGTGTCTAGGAGGAATAAGATATTCCTTGGAAGAAATATTTTTTCAGCATCTGTTCTTGGACCCACCATGTTCTAATTCAAAATGTGAGCTAGGAGCGTGCATGCAAGGAATGGATTAATTTTTGCTTTTTGTCCTGTCTATTCAGTATTTCATGCATCTTTCCGCCTTCCTTCCCTTCTTGCAAAGAAGAGACTTCTTTTGCTTTGTCTCACCCAAAAATATCTTTCTTTAAGAGATCTGCCTTTCTACAAGTTATATCTCTAGCCTTTTATTTTCTTTTGGAACATGCTCTATGGTCACATTTTCAGAATGGCTTGCTTTATTCTTCTCCTGGTCATAATTCAGCAGTTTGGTATACTCTTAACATGGAAGTTTGTTACTTTATTCTTTTCTCCAGAAATTCTCCCTCAACTCAAGCTCATTTAATCTCTTTTGACATAAATTATTGTTTTATAAACTTTAATCAGCGTGAAGTTTATCCACTCTTCTCTTTTTTGAATGGTTTTCAGTGCCCAAAATGTCTGTACCAATTGCATTGTATTATGAGAAAGTGTATACGTATAAGATACTGAAAAGCTGTTTTATGTTTCCATCCTTTCACCCCCACCTCAACCTCTTCAAAAAAGGTGTGCAAATCTCACTCCGGCATTCTTGGGAAAGGCTTGGCACTATCTCACTCTCCAACCATTTTGGAAGCTCTCGAAGGAAATCTTCCACTGCAGGTGCAAAGCAATGAGCAGTCATTTCTGGAGGATTTCATTGCTTGTGTACCAGGATCAAGTGGTGGACGACTTGCAAGGTAAAAGTTTGTGTGCTGCATGAATAAATACATTACTTCATACTTGTTTAAGTTTTGCAGCAAAGTAGGAAGTGTTTAGTTATCTGCTAAATTTTAAAACCTGTGTGCTGTTGCTTGTCTATACAACTAGCTATAGAACTTTAATAGTTATATCAAATATTAGTTAAGTTAAACTGTGTGGCCATATTGTTTCTATTAATCTATTAGGTAAAAGCATTTATGTATTCAGACCTTCTGCATCCTTTCTTAGCTGGAGTCATGTTTGTACAGAATAAGAATTTATATTTTGGGAGGTTATAAAAGATGTTAATGTTGGGTGTTTTTCTTTCCTGTAGGTGGCTTCAGCCAGATTCATATGCTGATCCTCAAAAAACATCATTGATTTTGAATAAGGATGACATTCGATGTGGCTGGCCAACTGTTATTACTGTACAAACAAAAGACCAGTATGGGGATGTTGTTCATGTTCCTAATATGAAGGTAATTATTGTATTCTTGGCTGTTATTATACTTCATCATGCCATCTTTTAGTGTTTGTTATAGATATTCCACAGAATGCTCTTCTCTAGGGCAGAAAGTGGCATTCGTAAATTCAGTGTAATGAGACTTTCTTACCTCTGAATCCACAGGATTATCAAATTCTATATTATGCCAACACCATTTAATGCAAATTATATTGTCTGTAATGAACTACACGTGTAGCTTGTCTGTACTGAGCTAGGTTTACATACATACATAGCATACAGAGGTTTTTGACACAGCTGGATTTGTAATGAGTGCTCTAGGCACTTTGTCACTGACTTTATCAGGTGTAAAAGAATATGTGTGTCTGTTTTCTCCCTGAACCATCTTCTCTATTCCATGTCTTATTGCAGGTAGAAGTCAAAGCCATTCCTGTTTCTCAGAAAAAAACATCTTTGCAACAAGAACAAGTTAAAAAGGTGCAACGGATACCAGGGAGTCCTGCAACAGCTGCTTCCCCTAGCAGTGATATGACCTTTGGAGGACTTCCTTCACCAAAGCTCGATTCTTCCTATGAGCCAATGATAGTAAAAGAAGCTCGATATATTGCTATTACAATGATGAAGGTAAATTACTATCATTTTAGCAATATAACTGAAAAATTCAGCATTCAAAATGTGTAAAGATATGCAAAGGAGAAGGAAAAGAAATATATTTCAGTTTGTTCACAATATAAAAATATATTAATTACCAATTACTTTGATTATATTTAAGTTCAGCAGAAAACTGGGTGCTTCAAAAGGGCCAATTGCCTGATCTCTAAAGCAGTTCCAAACTGGATTAGCATTTAAAAAGAAAAGTTGTCTTTGATTTTGATTACACTGATTAACAAACTTGTCTGGGTTACTCAGGAGAAATGAAAACAGCTACTGAAATGGTGGAGGGGAAGTCAAACCAATTTATCCGCATAGAGCTGGAATGTTGCAATGAATCTATATTGAAAACTAGAACTAATAAACATAGGAAAAAATCAGAGCTCAGCATAGTAAAAGGTCATAGGAATGATTTGTGTATCAATGCATAAATATTAAACAGCATCTGTTGAAATTAGCCATTGCCAAATGGGTCAGGTCAGAGACTTTGCTGGGAACAGTTTTAAAGAGGTGAAAACTGAGCAGTTAGTATTGATTTGAGTTTATTTTAGCACCTGTGATAAATTTACATATATGTAACATATTAACCCAGTTAAGATGATGTGACATGATGTGTATAACTAGCAGTTGGACAACATAACAGGACATGATTAATCAGGAGTTAGAGAAGGATAATACTTAATGTAATCAGTATGGATTTATGGAGGAAGAAAATCAGCAAACTAGCATCTTTTAGAGGGTACAGGGTTGTTTTCTGCAGAGGGTAATGCTACAGTAGCTACATGTAAATAGTGCAACTGGCTACTAAATAGTGTCTTAATGGATCAATGAAAGAACTACAAAATCAAAAATGGTGTACAACAAATGGTTTAAAAACTCGTTAAATCACACGTCTGAAAAGATATTTGCAACCAGGGGGTGTATATCAAGGTGATGAGTGTGAAAGGCTTGTTTGGTTGGGGGTTTTTGTTTGTTTTTATTTGGGGTACAGCAAAAATCACTACTTGGCTTGATGCTACTTGGTAATTTTACCAGTGACTTGAGCTGGGAAAAAAAAGAATACATTATTCAGATTTGGAACCCAGTTGGGATTTCTGATAACCTGGTTGTCCACATGTACCTGCTGCTTCTTCTCCAGTCATAGGTGTCAAATCTGTTGATGCAACTGTTATGCTAGCACACCTTGCAATGATGATGCAGCAACTGCAGGGTGTCCAGAAATTTTATTTCCAGATTTGATGGACCCTTTGAGTGAGGAATGCTTGATGTTAGCTAGTTAATGTGGAATCATTTTTTTAAAGTAGAATCAGGCTAAGATAAAATGAAAACACAAGTATTCATTTAAAGTTGTCTTAGTAGATAATAACAGAACAAATCTTCACAAAGATAAAAGTAAAAAAGTAAAAGACACACACCAAGATAAAATGCAAAAAGTGTCTCTCCCTCTCTCCTTGTTGAAACATGCTTGACTTCTATATTTAATACTTTTCTGGGGAGTCTTCCAGAGGTTCCTCTCATCCTCATATTAAGTATTTTCCATCCAAAATTTTAACCTTTTTTTTTTTTTTCCCCCTCTTTAAATTCAGAAGAAAGCTGATATTTTGTTGCTTAAATTAAGGACTGTCTGACATTCTGGGAAATGCAAATGTGTTACCTGCTGTATTTGATTAGCTTATTAACAACTTCATTGATTCAAGAAAGTATATTCTCTTCTACTTCCCTCCTTGCATTACTGAGCACACTCATTTCAGTGTAAAATGCAGATGTCCCCTGATCTTTTTGTTTTATACCACCCTGCATGTTATATCAGTACTTGATAGAAACATTCAAATATGACTAGAAACTCTAGCTTCTCACTTCCTGACAATGTTGTGATGTTTGAGGGATTGATACCCAAAACTATATCCTTGTGTAGAGACCTGAAATGGCTCATCTGTATGTATATGGTTCAAATATTCTTATCCCACCTCTTCTCCCCCTATTGTTTTTGGTTTAACATGGGAATCTGAAAACTCAGCAACCACTGGAGCCCAGAGGGATTCTTGCTGAAATACTTCATGCAGTTCTAGAACTATTGTTAGTTACTTCTTATGGGGCTTTTCAGTGCATACATTTCTCAAGAAAATGTGAAAATGAACGAGGGAGTTGGTTTTTTGTTTTGTTTTGTTTTGTTTTTTTTAAATGGGAATCAATGGAAATAACACCTCAATACAGAGGGAATTTCTTCTTCACTTTAAGTAGAAAGAAAGAGGATCCAAAATTCCATTGATAAATCCACTGCGCTGGTTTGCAGTTTTGACCTGCAACATATTTGCTTTCTTATCTTCACATGGTCTTCAGTGCACTACCTGCATTCAAAGGCTTTTGATACAAGCGAAATTACAAGAGATTCAAAGATTTGACTGTGTGTGATAGTTTAACTTAGCTGGCAGCTAAACAAGGCACAGCCAGTTGCAGCCTCCTCCCTTCCCTCCCCCAAGCCCCAGGAATCAGGGAGAGAATTGGAGGGGTGAAGGTAAGGAGACTTGTAGGTTGAGATAAGAACAATTTAATAATTAAAGTAAAATAGTAATAATAATAACAACTATGTATATATATATATGAGTGATGCATAGAACAGTTTCTCACCACCTGCTGATAACGATCCCAGAGCAGCAAAAGGGCACCCCAAAATCGCAATCCTGGAAAAGCGAGCCCAAGTGATTCCTGAGGGAATTCCCCCCTTTCTGGTCAGCCCTGGTTAATATACTGAACATGACATAATATGATATGGAATATCTTATTGGCATATCCAACTGTCAGTTCTGGGTTTTCCTAACTTCCCCTCCAGTCCTCTACACTCACAAGCTACCCAAACACCATGTCCTTGTACCGTATCGACATTCTTCTCATAACAATCCCCACTGAAACCAAAACACAGAGCTTTCTAGTTACTAAGAAAATTAACTCTATCCTACCAAAAACCAGGACACTGTGAACAAAAGGTTTTGTTAGCAATCACTATCTTTATTATCTAAATAATGGCAATTTAAAGAAAAGGTGAAGATACTTTTTTCATGTATGTATATACATATGTCTGTGTTTCTTTTTCTGTGTTTTGGAATTTTTTCTCTGATCAATGCTTCTGGTGCATGTAAAGTTAGTTTAGTGTGTTCTTTGAGAAAATATTCTGCTTTCTTTTGTTCATGACCATAGTATAACTGATAACTTAATTTTATGTTTGTTGAATTTAATCTGTTTACAGGCATATGAAAATTATTCTTTTGAAGAACTGCGCTTTGCTTCACCAACACCAAAGAGGTAAACATAAAAAAATTACTTTTTAATAGGGACTTAAAGTAACATGCCCTGTCACATCTGCTTACAGCTGAACTCACAAGCCTTGCCTGCCAGGTCCAGGGGTAGAAACACTACAAAAATCGTGGAGAGTTTTTTTGTTTCTTAAATTTAGACATTTTCTTAAAAATCTTCTGTTCTTGTTGTTCTTATGTCAATTCCTTGTTTGTATTATCTCGTCTGTAAATATGTTCTTTCATAATTTGCTGTTAATAAATGTGGGATAGAGGGTTATAACTTAATAATAAATCATATAAGGTTAGTACATTGTATGGGGAAAAACAGTATTTAGATGATCCGATACTAAATATTACAGATGATTTCCAAGAAGGCAATAATTGTTTAATGATTTCAATTGGTTTTTTTTATGCCTAGACCCAGTGAAAATATGTTGATCAGAGTCAACAATGATGGTACATACTGTGCAAACTGGACTCCTGGAGCTGTTGGTCTCTATACGATACATGTTACTATAGATGGCATTGAAATAGGTACTTAATATTCACAATACTTAAGCATAAATTTATATTACATCCACTTTGTATATTTATAAATGTATGTCTTGGTGCTCATAACATTTATTATTACAGTTCATAGCAAAACTTAGCATGCAAGTTTTGGTTCAGAAGCCTTCAATCTAATTTCTTCTTCTTTGTCAAAAGGAAGAAAGAACATAGCTCTTCTTTCATAGAGACATGTGGTAAATCAGGGGGACTGGACTAGATGATCTTTTGAGGTCCCTTCCTTTATAATGTAGTTAGACTCTTAATAGAGTATTTTATTCTCTACTCTCAGTGTTGCAAGAAAAACATCTTATTTCAGCTGAGCATGACAGAGATGTATAGTTAAAGGGGACAAAAAAAACCCCACAACACTGAAGAACCTAAAGAAAGGGAAAATTGTTCCTGACCATTACAGAAATAATGTAACTTCTTCTGTGGAAAATTGAGAAAGTGTGGTCTTAACTCGAAACTCTACCCTAAGTAGAGTTATACTAATATTATTATACTAATATACTGTACTTTATATTTATACTAATTTTCAAGTTTCTTCCTTGCTGAAAATGTCTTAGTTGCCTTGCTGGTCCTAGGGAGCATGAGATGCTATAGCTTTTGGTGGAAAGATTTCCCCTCTAGAAAAAAGTCTGTGTCTTAAATACTGTCTTGTTAGTCTTCCACTAACTTCTTGTTAGTTGGTGGTACAGTGAAGATGGTAGTAGATATATCAAAGGCATTGTAGTCAGGCTCAGATCTGACATGAAGGTTTAAGTGAGTTCACCAGCACTATCAATTCTTCTTTCCCAATACTGTACAGGACCTTTTGTAAATACATAAAGTGACACTCATAGGTACAAATACACATAATTCACACAGAATTGGAATGGGATGCTCAGTTTTGTGTGTTGCCTACAGAAGATAAGATTTATAAAAGGTCATTACTAGTGGTTATCTTTGTTCCTCAAACAGGAACATTTTCTTTCATAGGAGCCTCCAGTGCACTCAGGTGTATTTTTTCCAGTCTGTCACCCCTGGAGACAGTCTTTACACTGCAGTTTAAATCAGCTGCTGTCATATTTTTACATGCATTCTGTCATCCTCAGTTGTTGTGTGGGGTTGACTTTTAGAATGCTAAAAAACAGTTGTTAAGTTTGATTATTAAACAGGTGTGAGTATACTCTAATACTTTTCTATGCTATTTTTCTTTAATGTAGCTTCTGTTCTGGTTCAATCATAGTATCTTACTATCCCCTCTCAAGCTTGGATGTACCCATGCTTGACCCATAATTTTGTTAACTTTTAATTGCTTAAGTACTGGTAGCACTTAGTTTCTTCTCTGTTTCAAAGCTTTTATGTTCTTGATACTTCCAGATTCCTTCTGTTACTTCCGTGCTTGTTTAAAAGAATGTTACTCAAACCAACAGTTTTATCACTAGTTCTGACTGGTTCTTACAACAGTGTTGGTAATTAAAGATGCTGGCTATTTACCTTATAGGCCTTTTCTGGTTGTGTAACTTGTTTTTTAAGGCTCTTAGCAGTTTCTCACATTTTGCTATTAGCATCTGCATCAATACAGCATCCAAAAGCTATTGCCTCTCTAGGAGCTTTCACTGCCACCCCTCAGACATTAAACACTTTTGTGTTCACCATTCCTTGCAACACACCCCTACAGACACTATTAGGACACAAAATTACCTAATAGTACTGTGTACACCAGGTGTGACGGATGTCTATAATAACAATGAAATGAAATTATACATCTGTAAATTCTACATATCAAGATACAGATGTTGAGAAAGTAATACTTTGCACCATGAAGTAACTGCAAGTGTTGTTTATGGCAGATTGATGAGTGAGTGGTTGTTTTGCCTACTCTGACTTACAGTACAGATAAACCGTAATTACTGTTTGACTGATATATCCCCTTCTATTTATTTATTTATTTAAACTTAGTCTTTGTTTTCTTATAGATGCTGGACTAGAAGTGAAAGTAAAAGATCCTCCAAAGGGAATGATACCTCCTGGTACCCAGCTTATTAAACCAAAAGCGGAGCCTCAGCCAAACAAGGTTTGGAGAACTAGGGGGGGAGGAAAAAAGAAAACCAACCACACACACACAAAAAAAGTCAAACCTCATAACAGTTATATTTGGGTGGGATTTTGTTGTTGTTGTTTAATGCATACTTTATCATGTCATAGTGGTGCAGGACTTAGGATATTTGCAATTCACTTTATTGTGCTGAATGGAATGAAATGAATATACTGGATAAAATGAAAGATATTCCATTTTCTTTCTGTCTGTCTATTAATAAAACTGTTAGAAGCTCTACAGAAACTGTTTTAGTCTTAGCTTGTCACACAAACATTGTGCAACTATTAGGAAAGCCACAGACTGCTGTCTGCACTATTATTAGTTCTTTTTCTTTGGCATTGTAAAACAAAAGTAATTGTACAAAGGACTTTGCAAAGATTTTGGTTTATGATAAGGATCTTTGGTCAATATAAAATCCAAAATTAGTTTCTTTAGCAATATCTTAATTTCTTAGAATATTATTATTTTAGTTTTAGGTTATCCTTTCTGTAGCTTTTAACTTCACCCCTGAAAGGACTAAAGTAGACACAGATAACAGAGGACAGCTGAAAGGTGGTCTGGCGGTGCTATAAGGAAAATGCCCAGACAAGGGAACTGTCTTCCACTTCCTCTTAGATGCAAAGGAAGGGATATTAAATGAGGCACTGAATCTTTTCTTCATGTAACAAACCTGTATTAAAAGATGGGGAATTCTGAAATTCCACAAGGTTATCCTTCCATGTCTTACTACAGCTACAAAAGTGACTAAGAAATACGTGGCTACAAAAAGGATCAGATGTTTTCAAACCTATATAGCACATCCTGATTTAGTTGTTTTCTAACTTTCTGAATAATCTAGAGACAGTAACTTTCTTGTACAGAAAGTTACTTTTTGCACAAGTTCTTTTTCTCAGTCTGTAAATGCCTCCGGTGTCTGCTTCTGCCGCTAACAAAATTCTTTGCACCTGCACCTCAAAATAAAAATAATAAATATACCTTTAGTTTCCATACAGTTTTTTATCCCTCATTGCATTTTTTTTTTCCAAAAAGTACATTTAGACTTTCTCCTTTCTCTTGGAAGGACAATTTCCTGGTTACGTCATTATCTTAATTAAAACTCCCAGTTCCTACTGGGTGAGATTCATCTCACAAAGCTTAATGATATCTCCATCCAAACCGTTCATCTTATGTGTTGTTTGCTGTCACCAAACTGAGAGAGACTTCTGGTCTAAAATGAGATAAATTGATGGATTGAAATGGTATCTTTCTTTTCAGTTACTACAGTGGGAATTGAAGTGACTGGTTCATACATAATAGCTACATTTTGTAAAGTCTTCATGACAGTTAAAAATTCTTGACAAAAGTTAGGCCACTGGTGTTCTGAGGCGCTACCTAGTGTTTAATCATCTCCCTGTGTTCTACTTGCACGTCTTGTTTCCTGTTCCAAGTTGTAGTCTCTTTGAAAGAGGAGCCATCTTTTTGTTCTGTTTATAGTATCTGTAGAGCCTGGTGCAAAAATACACTAGACCTTTCATGGTATATCATTCTATCAGTCGTTTTCCTCTGTGTTGTAATAAATCACATAACAAACCGAATTAGAATAATACTTTGTCTATGAACAGCAGCATTATAAATCATACAGAAAGGTAATTATTGCACTGTGCTCCATGCTTCTGAAGCCAAGAATGCAGATTAGACAAGTATCAGTCGGAGACAGTCCAATATACTAAATCAGGTTTCGCTCAGAAAAAGGAGTTAGTTGAACTCTACAAGCTTCTTTGTCTTTTTTGTCAGCCCTAAATTTCAGATAGTTATAACCAAAGGGCACTAACAGTGCATTCTCAGTGGTGATCTGTTCTCAACTAGAAACATCAAAATATTTTCATTGAGGCAGTGGACTATTACAATTTTGTAGTCAAACCATACTTGAATTGCAAGTTGAAAAAGGACACTGTATTATGATTTTGTATTGATTTCTTCATTCTCTGTTATTTGAAGTCAGATGAAAATCTGATTTTTCTGTCCATCCAAGTTCATAAAGGAGATTGTCATAGTGATCTGTAATCAGCCTGGAGTATATGACCCATAAGGACTGCTGCCTCCTCGTTGGCTGTAAAACTTAGCTTAACTAATTTGCAGGAAATTCCATTCCAAATCCTATTGAGGGAAATACTATCTTTCAGGCTATGTACTGTAATTCAGGGTAGTTGGAACCAACTAGAAGAAAGCAGCCCTAATTGAACTGAATTGGAATGGGGAAGACTGGTACCAGAATGACTGTTCACTAATATGTTTTGAATGTTTGTACTGTCCTGACATGACTGAACAAGTAGCTAGCATCAATTGCAAAAAAACCCCACCAAACCCAAAAGCTCTGGGCATGGAGTGGCTTTTTGCACCCCTTCATAGAAGGTTAACCCCTTTGGTAAGGTTGCTTTATTCTGTACAATGCAGCCTTCTGTGCTGCGAGGTGTACCTCTTTTCAGATTCACCAAATAAGAAGGCACAGTAACAAAGCTCTTGAAAGCTGCTGTGCACTGTAAGGGAGATGTAACGTTAATTGTTACTCCTTTCTGCATTGGTCACTTCTTTTAGTTGGAATCCAGTTTGTGTATGCTCCATGGAAGAACCGACTGCAGGAGCGTTATAGGACAGAGTTACTGAACCGTTGTGCCATGGAGAAATATTCCAAACAAAGAGATGCTATATCAGAAAGAAGACTCAGACAATTAAGTTTTTTGTGATGGTCAGAAATGAGCACAAGAGAACTTTCCATCTGTTGTTTGTTGTATTGTCTCTCAGTGGATCTGATCCCTAAAAATCTACCATTTGTAGTTATAGCTTGAAGTTTTCTATTAACTAGTTAGATGCTGCAAAGAGGAAAAATGCTCTTTCCAGGCCTGTGCATATCCAAAATCTTCTGTAAGTTCTTCTAAATTCAGGTATTTAAGCCAAGTTCTAGCCAAGCCATCATATGATTTTTCTGAAGTAACATTTTAGGGTTATAATACAGGGACCATTAATTTGCAAGGCTTTGTTTATAGGTTTGTCTGTGTTGAGAAGGCTGTCAGCAGTGATTCAACCTTATTTTTACAAGGAATTTGGAAGTCTTAGTTTTGCATTTTGAGAGCAATCTAAATCCTTAGAGTAAAAGGATTGTTAGTAAGCAAAACCTTCCACATTTTTTAGTAAGTTACATTTTAGATTCTTTACGTGCTTCTGTTTTGGGTTTTTTTTTGAGAGGGGGTTGTTTGTTTGGTTTTAAATTAGCCTTAAAATAAATACCATTTCTTAAATAACTAATTTGGGGGGGAGGGAGGGGGAAGTTATGCAATTAGCTGTACCTCTCATTACATTTTCTTGAGTTTATTTTTTCTATATCATTTTGTTCTTTATGTTAAAGGCTGAGTTCATACTTCAGTTGATACTTTTTAGTTTTATGTGTGGTGTTTGAAAATAACCTTCCAAGAAAAAGGTTTTATACCATGTGCATAGAATATACACACTTCTTAAAACTAGTGACCGAAAGGATGATTTATCTTTGTTCTTTATGGGACAGGTGCCAGATAATGTGTTTGAATGGTGAAAAAAATGATAGTGAATAACAACTGTGAGATTTTGGAGACTGTAGTAAATCAAACCAGTAACCAGGAGCATCTGATCTAACCTTCCTGTGAAGAACAGACAGACTATTGAAATAGCTGTTTGAAAAGAAGTAGAAAGATATGAATATTGTGTGGTATAACAGATGTCTTCCCAAGACTGACTCAATGCACTTTTAGGATTTTTTTGAACATTATTGTTGTTTTATTGGTTATAGTAAAAAAAGTGAGGTTATACCCAGCAGCCATGGGAAACTAGCAACAAACTGTAACTCTGACTGCCATCTTGTTACTAGCATTTCAGAATCTGTTAAACCTATTTCCTTTTACTCTGAGAGCTCTGTTCCAATTTTTTCTTCCTTACTGTCTTCCTTTGCTTCTCTTAGGTTCGCAAATTTGTGGCCAAGGACAGTGCAGGGCTTCGTATCCGTAGCCACCCTTCCCTTCAGAGTGAGCAAATAGGCATAGTGAAAGTCAATGGATCCATCACTTTCATTGACGAGGTAATTAATAAGACATTTCTGTTGAAAATTTGGCTAAGATGTAAAGTTAATTCATGCTAATAATGTTTTTTTTATGTTTAGATGTTGACATATACAACTCAAGAATGTAAGAGTATAAATTGCAAAAAACTAAATATTTACTAATTAGTTTTTCAAGCTGTCATTTCCTTTTAATTTACTTACTTGAAAACCTGTGTAACAAACTTTTGAGACTGATATGAAGAAACAAAATTCCTAGAGTTCATCTTATATCTCTAAGGATTTAGCTGTTCATGACTTACTATTTCAACTCTACACAAAAAAATCAGATGTAGGTGTCATTTCTTTACATCTTCCCTTACACTTCTGGAAGATCACTAGTGTGTTAAACTGCTATGCATGTATTTTTCTTAAAATATAACTTCGTATAGAAGGAATATTTTTGCAATTTACTAAGTTATATCAGCAGTGGAAGAATGGAAAGTGGGGAACTTATGAAGCTTATGAAGGCTTGGCTTTCTTTCCTCTTTTCTCTCAAAGCAACTCTTATTATTGCCTGATCTGATTTAAATTTATCTTTGCAACTTGACTTCTAAAAAGTTACACTTCTCATTGCTTTGAAATACTGATTTTGTCAATATTCCTCTTTTCCTCTTCTTACATTCTATCAGCATAATGAAGATCATTACTTCCTTGCTCCTATTGTCTGTTTGTCTGAAGTCTGTTAATCCTTACTAGCTACGAAACAGTTACAGGAGAGCATGGCTCGTTTTTGTTGCTTGTTTCCCATAGATCCACAATGATGATGGTGTTTGGCTGAGGCTGAATGATGAGACAATAAAGAAGTATGTTCCTAACATGAATGGTTACACTGAAGCTTGGTGTCTGTCTTTTAACCAACATCTTGGCAAGAGCCTTCTGGTACCTGTTGACGTAAGTAAAAGGTGCCTTTAAAAAAAATCCAAAAGTACACTCTATCCTCATTACAAGACTTTCTTTAATTAAGGCTGCAAATGAGTCCTGAGGTAAACAGTATTTTAATTACCAAATACTACCTTATATGTGTTTGCATTTTGGAGGGCTATTGTGTAATGAGGCTGGAGTGTAGAAAGGTATGAGGCTTTTTATCACAGAATCATAGAATGTTGTGAGTTGGAAGGGACCCACAGGGATCATCGAGTCCAACTCTTGCCCTAGCACAGGACAGTCACAAGATTCAGACCATGTGTGTTGAAGCTTCCTCTCCTGAAGAGAAACAAAAGTGCAAGGACTGTTATAACAGTGTACACAAATATAATCCTACTAGATTGTGGTCTGCACCAGGTGTTTCTGGTGTAAGGTGTCATTGTCCGTAAAGTGGCCTACTAATGCCATGATTTCAGAAGATGCTTACAGCCTACAGTGAATCAATGTTAACTGAGGCTTTTTAAAAAACGTTAAAAGTTTTTTAGGCTCTGTTGGTTTTTGTGTATTTTTTGGGAGTTTTACACCTGAATCCTTGAGTTATCAATTTATTAGCTGATCAAAGAATCCCATAGCATTAAGACTGAGTAAAGAAATTGAATTTATAAGAGCAAGCATAATTTACCTTGATAACTTTAATGATGATTACTATCACTACAATTCAAACATTACACCTTTTCTGTAAACAAGATACAGTTTTAAAAAAAAAATTGAAACATGGAAAGAAAAAATTATATTGACTAAACCAGTTTTTCTCAAAAAATTTATGAATGTGCAGGCCTTTCTGGCTCATTTGGTTTTGTGCATTCCCCAGAGTGGGCAATACCTTGGTTTCTTCAGGGCAGAATGCGAGAACCAGATCTAATTGCAAATACAGCTATTGAGATTTGTTTTGTCCTCTTACATGAGTGAGCTGCTGCTGCAGTTGAAGACAGTTAACAAATTAACTTGGCCAAATTAATCACCTGCAGCCAGTTCATGCTTTCTGATCACAGAACTGAGATATTCCCTGTTCCAATGAAACTGGGCTGTTTGCTAGTAGGCAAACTGGCCAAATTAATCACCTGCAGCCAGTACTGCCACCCAGTTCATCTTTTCTGATCACCGAACTGAGATATTCCCTGTTCAATGAAACTGGGCTGTTTGCTAGTAGGCAAATCTGATAATTCATAAAATCCCTGTGGCTGCAGCCCGTGTTCTGACTGCTACATGATGCAACTAGATCTTCTTCCTATTCACCTTCTTGTCTATAAATTATTTGTTGATATAATTCTATTTGGAGATTTCTTTCAGTGAAATCCTTATTTTTGGAAGTACTTTAATATAGCATTTGGAAAGCAAATTATTTCTCTACTCAGTCATCAGTCACTCAAACACTGATGAGAGGCATATTTAGCTAGTTTGTTGTAGGATATATGAAAAAAAATGAAAAAATATAAACTTTGCTTCAACTCTTACTCATATTTTTGGCCTTTGAAATTGATACTCAGAAAATAGCTATAGTGTACTTTGACAAAACATTAATGTATGTATGCAGCAGTATTGTAAGCCTGGATGGATATTGTGTTTTGTTAGATTTTATTCATTTTTTTCTATTCCTAAAACTTTTTTACTTGCTGGGAAAAGTTTTGAGGTTAATAGGCAGGTACATGGTTAGCAAGAACTTAATGGTTGGTACATTTCAAATAGCTGTAGTATACACTTGCTCCTAGAGAAGAACATACCCTGTGCTCTCTGAGAAAAGCTTGAAAGGAAATGACTGTCATAAATAAATAAACTGAGTATTCAATCTTGATAATTCAAATTTCATTTGAATAAGTAGGTCAAGAACAATGACATGTGACGCCATTTAATTATCATAGATTTCACTCTGAATTCTTCTGTAAAGTTCAGATAAAATGCTGTAGATTTCTTTTTTCTTAAACAGTACAGTGAATTAGTTTTGATACCATTTAGACTATTAGGAGGTGGTAGATATTACTGATTTTCTTTTAACGAACCAGTTGTATTACAACCTTAATGGCACAAAGCAAAAGTCACATGCTTTCTTAGATTCTGATCAGTAAGCAGCCAGTGGCCAACATAGCAAAAGTCTTACAAAAGCAACTCTTATAACAGCGTAGCTATGTATAAGAGATGTGTTTTGAGCTAGTTTCAGATGGTAGGTTTTATGTATCTCTCTCATATTTACAAATTTTTGAAAGGACTTAGCATGTCCTGAAGCTATTTAATTTCATTATGACTATATTTAAGCGTTAAGATTTGTTGGTTTGATTCATAATAATAAGAGGAAAAATTAAAAAAAATTCTCTAACATTTTCTTTCTTTAAGGCCAGAAAACAATAGTCAGGGTTCAGTGGCTTACTTTTGAATGCCTTAGTCTTTAAGGTGTGCTATTAGAGCATTATGCACCACACAACCTGATGAAATTCAATAAACTCTTTTGTAAGCTCCTGATTTTTGGAAGTCAGCTTTAAACTCTTTCCTGCTAAATCTTGATCACATAAAGTGATACTGCTTTCTTGGTAGACAGTTGTAAAATATATATATTTTTTTTTTTAAGGTGATTACCAGTTGAGAATTTTAAAAAATATATGTCTGTCTTTCTCTAAACTGTTTGAGAAAAGAACTGTATTTTTGCAAAGTTGCGAAATTTGATCAGACAGTCTTCCCGGGGTGAATGACTCAAGTGGCAAAAGATGTTCAATTAAGCAATAAATGCTAAAGGTTCTGTAGATTAAATTGTGAAATAATCCATATCTACTCATCCTTTTCTGTTGATTTGGGTAACTGAATGACACGATGAGCAGAACGTAGTAAAAAAATCTGTTAGTATACAAGATTTTGGGAAACCAAAACTGTTCTAACAGTATTGGTTTCAGAAGAAGGAAACAGAGTGGAAAAAGTCTCTGTGTGACTGAAAATACAGATGGAAAATCAAGTAATTGTATTCCGTGTTCAAATGAATGTCACATTACTAGACTCAATTTTTATTCAGCTCATGAGTGTGCAGACTTGACAACTCTGATTACATTTAAGCATACAGGCTTTTTCTCATCATCCCTTAAGTATATAAAATCTCTCAGAACATTTTATAAAATATATTTAAGGTGTATTTTTTAAAGAAAGCTTGAATTCTTCGATTTCGTCACTGTATCAATAGAACAGTGAACAAAAAAAAAAAGGATACTTTTTTAGCAGAGTTAATTTCAGCCTCTTGTCCTCCTGGCATATATATTGTATTTACATTTTATGTTTGTTTGTAGACATTAACCATATATTTTATGATAAAGCGAATATTGAGTATCTTAGATCTCCTAAACACACTGTTTCTGTATATTTTGATCAAAGCTGTTATATTTAAAGAGAAATTATCATAGGAAAGCAGAGCTCCATTGAGGTTGCCAAACTGTTTATTTGAGCTGTGGTCATTTACCTTCTTAAGGAAAGCTGTATAGTCAAATCCATTCATGAGGAGCTGCTCTGTAGCCATTGGTCTAAAATTGAGTATCCAATCCATTGTAGGTAATATGATTATGAGACTACGAATTTAATAGTTGGTGACTTTGGATAAGAGTATGAGTTTTAATAGATTGCCATTTTGGACAAGCTGCTTCCTTCCTTGGTAGTTACTTTTCCTTCTCTCTTGTGACATTCAGTTATTTCTTTTTGAAAAAAACACTTGTTAAGTTCCTTACAGGGACAGTTATGTTTTCATGCTTACACACAGTACTTAGTAGAAAAGTACACACAGCATAAAAAAGTACACACTAAGAAGAAAAATAATTTTGTCTTGGTTAAGCTCTGGAACTTGACTTTTTAAAAATCATATTCTAGTTATGTTTTTGTTACTTCATTTTAAATGTTAAGCTTTATTATAAGGAATATTATACCCTGTTGCCCAGTTATATTATTACATTCCCCAACCACCATAGGCAAGCAGGATTGAGAAACTGCAAGTTTTCCAAATCATTATTGCAGTGGAAGAAAGAACCAGAATTAGTACATAGACTATAGTGTTTCATCACAGAACCTCAGAAAGCTGAATGTTATGTGGAAATGTTGAAGAACATTCACAAGAGATTTCTACCATCATTTTAGGCATGATGGAAAACCTTAGCTTTTAAAATAGTATTAATTGAGATTTTAAATGCTTATTAATGGTCTGCTAATTTTTGGTTGCCAAATTAAGTAATTTCTATATTTTATTATTATTATTTTTGAGACTTAAACTTTATTGGAAAAAAGTATGATTTTTTTTTTTTTCTGGAAGAATCCTTGAAATTATCTCTAGTTTTTGGAAGGGAAAGCTTGAAAGGAAAAATTCAACTAAATCTACAGATGATAGCATAAGGACTAACTACAAAGCTTCTATGTAGTAGTTTCTTCAGAATGAAAACTTAATTCTCAAATATCTGCCTGATCTATTCATCTAAACTGGCATATAGTGTGCTAATAGCCAGGAAGATAAGGAGCTTCTAGATTGATCTTCACGGTGTTCCTAAGCCAGCATGATCCCACTTCACTGCTGTGGATTTCTTTTGTATGTTTTACACGTACAGCTTTATAACATAGAAAAACAGATCTTTGAAATAAATATTTTAGGTATGCATAGTCCATGTTTCTCTGTACAGTAGAAGTTCATCACAAAATATGAGATAGGCTGCAAAATAATATAATTATTCCATTAAACTACACTGGATGCCTATGAAATACACTCCTATTTTATAGTTATCATAGTTTTATGTCAAATTGATAAGCCTTTACTCTGCCAGTCTTCCTATCTAACACCCTTCCCACATTCCCCAATGGCCTGAAACATCTCACTGGTGCATTGGTACCTCTTTCAATTTGGGGTAAAGGAACTAAATTCTAAAGAAATGCTGGTGTTTGACAATTTCTCTGTTTTTGTCACAGCTGAAAATCGTTTGCATTACTGAAACTTGATGTAAGCAGAAGTTTTGCAAATGGTATATAGCTAGGTAATTTGCTTCTGTCATAAGATAGAAGCATGGATTTAACTTTTAATGTGTTAATGTTTTTTCAAGGAATACGGAGGTGGCATACCAAGAGTGTTTTGTACTTGTTTCTGCTTAAAAGGATTCATTGCCTTTTCTTTAACTACTGTTAAATTTCAATGTGACTGCTGCCCAGGGATGTAACTTCATTCCCCTGTTAGGATGGGAATAGGAAATAAGATTTTGCTGCCTCTGTTCATATAGATAAAATGGTGGCTTTGCCAAAGGGATTCTGTCATAAATACTGATTATTAATGTTACTATATATGTACCATTAATTCTTTCATTTGACAGGAACAGTAAAAATTTCTTTGAAGTGAGTAGAAACGAGTTTATGGAGAAAAGATGGCTTCTTTTTCATGTTTTCCAGTGACTAAAAAATATTGTCCTAGCTGTTCTATGGGAGGAAAAAATAAACAGAACAGCAATGCTCCTTCCTATAGTACGGGCAATTGGTTATAAAATTAGTGAACTCTATCTGGCAGCTCCATTTGGTTTATGATAATTTGTAATAAACTAGTAAATGCATTATATATTTTATAAAGCTAATGAAATCTTAGTGATCATTCTCCTTACAGCACTCTGAATTTTTTTGGTCTGGTAAAGAGTGCAATTTTGATGTGCAAACTGATGAAATAATTCTGTGCAAGTGCTTTCAACAATAGTGAGTTTAGCCCTTCTGCATCTTTTCAGTTCTGACTTGGTGACTGAAAGTCCATGTGCAGTTGTTTTGTGATAATTGAAATAATCTTTCAAAACAGCAGACCGTCTTGCTAAAATGTGGTTTGTGGTGGGAACAACTACTGTTTCATTGTCAAGTGTGGGATTTTTCTGTGCACAGAGTCTCAAGCTTTGTAAGAAATGTCTGGCTCCTAATTTCAGTAAATGGCATGACACACTACATCCATTTCGAGCTTTTGACATACTAAACTGTTTTTATTTAATGGATGATTTGCCATGATGAGCAATGGACTCAGGTGACTTGATTAGGAAAACAGAACTTTCCCCTTTTGCAAAACATTCTACCAGTAAATTTACTTGTGGAGAAAGTTTGCATTGTAGTACCTCGAACTTCTTCCTTCAGTGTTTCTTTGTTCCCGTTTCTTTGTTGATATGTCTTTTTTTTTTAAACTTTGTTGCTCAGAATGTCTTTAATGCTAGCCAAGGAGTAAGGGATTTGGACTTTTTTTCATGGACTTCCAAAGCTTTACCCCCTAAGGTGAGTTAAATGACAGGAACAGTCACACTGTATCTCATGTTTTCAGATTGTACCTTATGACTCAACTTTATGCTAAATATTGTTTGAAGTCTGTTTTACTTTAAATTATTTTTTACAGGAAATAGTAGATTTGCATAGAATGTCTCTGTGTCTCTTCCTTTAGGATGAGAAAAAAATAGCGGGGCAGATTACTGAATTTTCATTAATACATAAGTAGCACTCTCCTTTTTTAATGAATCAAATTAGAAATTCAGAGAGATAGCCTAGTAACATAACAAAGGCTTTAATTCTATTTTTCATGCAGAATGTACTAGTAATTTTTTTTTTGGTTGTTATTGAAGGGTCCACATTAAGTTGCAGCATCTAATAACATGATATTTGTATGAGTAAAGCCACAAATATTTAAAAAATACTCAGCCCGTTTATTTTTTTTAATTATACAGTTGTAGGAACAAGTAATGTTAAGTACAGTTAAGCAGTTGAAAGTATCTACAGAAATACTTGCCTAAATCTCTTTGCAGCTCTGTGGTGGTTTTCTCTCATATGAACTTTGTAATGAAGATGACACTCAGTGTTGTACATATTGGTTTAGAGATTTAAAAACTTGTTTTTCCACTGAATCTTTTTCCCTAAAATAGCAAACTTTTTTATTGTTATATGAAGATCTAGACAATGTTTAACTACCTTTAAAGCATACAGATATTTTTTTTCCTTGAACCAGTTTAACTTATCGTGCATTAACTTGCTTTGAAGGTTACATATTTACAGAACAGATTCATTTTTGTATAAAGGCTTCTTGGAAAGACTGCTGGATTAATCTGGACGTAGTGCACAGACTTCTGTACCAAAAAGCTGAAAATATGATTAGTAAAGAGATCAGAGGAAACTGCATTAGCTAAAAAGGAAATAACATAAAGCAGAAGTTTGGTTTAAAACTGATAAAAGAAAGTAGTATTTTACACAGCAGGAGGTGAACTCTGATAGTTGTTGTTACAGGCGATTGTATCAGGAGGCAGAAAGTATCAGCACATGCAGAAGAAATTAAACAAATTTATAGAAATCAGATTCATAAATAAATATTAAAGAAAATAGGGTATAACCTCTAACATCCATAATAAAAAGACTTTAAATGCAGTTGGTATATAAGGGACATACCACTAATAGGGACTTGTATGCTGCTTCTAAAGAGCCTCTCCTGTTACCTTTGCTGAACACGATATACTGGTCTAGGGGAACCAGTCATCCCATAGGGCATTACTTAGTCCTTAAATTTCAGGTGTTCTTTTAAAAGCACCTATGATTTACATTATAAGCATAATAGAGCTCACTCTTGCTTCTCATTTGCTTTCTTATGATATAAATGTGCGTTACATTACTCCTGTCCCTCATATTTTTCTGTACAATAGACTTTCTGTTAAGCTACGGATGGCTGAAAATGCTATGCTAATATTTCTCTTCCTGTAGTAACTACCTATTTTTCTTGGTAGGAAATTCAAAAAGTGTTTTCTCATTTCAGATTTGGGTGTATATTTCATCTGTACTTGGTACCAGATGAAAAAAATTTGCAGGCCATTTTTATTGTCGTAGTGAAAATAATAAATATGCCCTAATATTTATATGTGCCTTTAATAATTGATGGTGTTGCTCTTACTCTTTGTCATAATTTTAGCTTTACTCTAAATTAACAACATATTCTAAATGTGAAATAAAAAAAGAAGCATATCATTTGGAAAGATAACATTCGAATTCCCTTTACATAGCCCCAGACTTTTTCACATAATTTCACAAATACAGCAGGAAGAATGAGTGTGTCTCCTGATAAATGACAGTATGAAACAAGATTTAGTGAAAGTGGTTAGAGTAAATAATTTTGTCTCTAATTGTAGATATGAGATAGTCCTTTTATATAAGTGGTCTACATTTATACTGCTTTTGTTTCAAGAGTAGTATGGAGGCTTTTCAATTAATGTGCAATTTACTAGTAGTTAGTTGTTTATCACTACACACTAAAATTAGCCATGTAACTAGTGTCTCTCTTAGCTTTGAAATTTAGCTATTGTAGTATTGAAATAAGTATTTCTTATCTAAAGAGTTCAAAGGTATTATTAATAGGTTTTATTCTGTTCTGTTTTGTTTTGCCTTTTTTTTTTAATTTCTCAGGAATCTAGGTCTAATACTGATGATTTTTTCAAAGACCTAAATTCACACTGCCCACAGGAAGCAGTGATGCAAGAACAAGATATGCCATTCCTTCGAGGTGGACCTGGAGTGTACAAGGTAGTGAAGACTGGCCCATCAGGTCACAACATCAGAAGCTGCCCTAACCTTAGAGGTATCCCAATTGGAATGTTAGTTCTGGGAAACAAAGTCAAGGCAGTGGGCGAGGTATGGATCCTTGTAGCTTCGGTTCATGTCTTCATAGATACCAGTATATAACAGTAGTAAACGCAACAAAAGAATCTGCCCCTCTACAGGTTTGCTTTTCCAACCTTCATCATAAAACTAAACTTTGAACTTGGTTTATATTTTAAATACTAATGCAATTATGTCTTTTGCCTTTTAGATGTGTGCATTGGTTGGTATAATGTTAAAATGGTACTGCAATTACATATGCTTGCTTAAATATTTCTGTTACAGTATTCCTTACAAAATTATGTTTCTTGTTGCACTTTTTTGTCTTATTCTTTGAAGTAATTTTGTTTCATTGAAATAATGTTTTTCTAGGATCTTACCAATTAACAAATTATTCTGTTTCTCTGTATTGATTGTATTCATTTGTTTAGTTGCTGAACTGTTGTTACTGTCCCCAGTTGTCCAGCTGTGGTGTTTTATGGTTAAAGAGGGCTTAAGGATGAAGTGTGTCATGCTATTTCCTAAATATAATGTCAGGAACAAAATTAGTAGTCCTACAATCTTTTCATATATAACTTGGTATTAGAATTCTACTTTTGCAGCCACCAATAAAAAGGCATGTTTTGGTGAATGTCTCCTTCAGGTTTTTACTTAAGCTTGTTTGGATGTTCTAAAGTTTTGGTCATGGTGTTTTGCTTCTTCTGAACATAAAGAGGTCTAAGATTTTTTTAAATACTCCTAACTGTAAATATGCCAGAAATAGTTTTGATCCTTCAGTCTGCCTCAGCCTGTGGCCTTAATTTAAGAAACTTTTTTTAATGTTTGCTTTGTAATATCAAGATTGGAATAAGTATGTTATTCAGATACTATAGTAAGTCGCTGAATCATGCTACTGAATTATCTGAAAAGTCAATAAATTGTGCTTTTTTATGTGTGTGCATCAGGTGACTAATTCAGAAGGTACATGGGTGCAAATGGATAAGAACAGCATGGTAGAGTTCTGTGAAAGCGATGAAGGCGAGGCATGGTCGTTAGCTAGAGACAGAGGTGGAAACCAATACCTCCGACATGAAGACGGCAAGTTGTTGTTTTGTTTTGCTTTTTAAATTTACTTAGAAAAAATTAAACAATCTAAACAGGACAAATAAAGAAGGAACTGAGTTTTAAACAGGTATAACATTAATTTACACTTTTTCATTTGAGTTGCTTTACACATTTGGACTTCAAAGTTGTTTATAAGCATTCTTTAAATGTTTTTTTAAAGAACAATTAAAATATTTCCCCAGGTTTTCTTCTGTACCAGCTATGGATCATAATTTTAACTGTCCTTTTAGCTACAGGGATCATTTTTAAATAAGTAATTGTGCATTTTTGTTAGCTTCCTTTGGTCTGTTTTGTGTCTCTATGAAAAGCAGAGCAGAATGAATTATTTATGTTCCTTTTCATTTTAAGTTCAATTCTGTCACACAGCATCCTGTCAAAAACCTGTTAACATGGTTTTTAACACTATTTAAAATTAACTTCAATAGTCAATTATTCTAGTTAGCAAAGTATGATTGCATTCTCTTATATTGCAGAATTTCTATCCTGAAAATTCATGTTCAGATTGGGTAAGAAATAGAAATAAAACAAGAAAACATAAACAAAATGTTAGTACACAAAATTTTTTATTGCTTTCTTCCTCCCCTACCCACCCCCCAAATCATCCTTCCTGTTGATCTCCCTACAAACAAGCTATGATTATGGTTCTAAACTATCTTTCTTTCACTCTGAATGCTTTACATAAATACTTTGAGAGGTATTCTGAAAAAGTTTTTTCTTTAACAGATAGTCCCAGCCCATCTGGATGAGTTCTCCTCTGCAAGAATATGGGCTACTTATATTCCCTTAAAAGATGAGACAGGGAGTCATCTGTCAGTATTTATACTTCTGGAGGACATCATCTATCTAACCTCCCCATCAGTGCAGTTTCAGCTAGATCAGGTTGCTCAGGCCTTTGTCTAGTCAAGTTCTAAGTATCTCCAGTCTCTCTGGACAACCCGTACCAGTATTCGACCCACCTTCATGGTGAAAAATTTTCCTAATACCTAATCACAGTTTCCTATGCTGCAACTTTTGTTCATTGTCTCTTGTCCTATCACTGTGAACCACTGAAATGAGTCTGGCTTCATCTTCCATGAACCTTTTGATTAGGTAGTTGAAGAGAGCAACATTTAAGGTTCTTCTTTTGTTAGAATTCCCTATAGGCTGCTTTGTTTCAACTCACTTGAAGAATTAGTTTCTTCAAGCCTTCTTTTTTTTTTTTTTTTTCTTCAATGTGTATTTCTGTGTTTTCTGAATAAATGTGGACAATTTCAATTTATACTCTTCCTACTCCATTCATGGGATCTAATCCATCTGTTTTCCAAAAGATATCTTCATTAAAAATATCCACCTCAGCAGTCATGTTCTGCTTGTGTTTTTAGGTAGTACTTATTGTCAGCCTCTTATTTGTTCATTATAAGAGATGCTGCCATTTTTCTGGTCTTGACATTTTGTGTTGAAAATGATTTCACACTTAAATGTTCTGGTAATTATCATCACATTACCATATTAAAACAAAGTAATTCCTTACCAATATGTAAGTATTTGTTGTAGGCTATTGCTACTTGACTGTAAGGTATAAGACATTCTGCGAAGAAGGGGAATAACGAAGAATTTTTCAAAAAATGTATAATTTGGGGAAGAAAGTGTTTACTTAATACTTAGCACAGCATCATTTTTGAAGTAATGGATTCTCCATTTTTAGTTATGTCTGATAATGTCAAGTTCTGAGGTGCTCAAAGAACGCAAGTTGCTTCTAGAAACTAAGTCTCTATAAACTGGAAAAATATCTTACTCTTGAAAGCGTATATTCAATAATAGGGTTGTTAACTTCATCATTTTGTGTCTTAATATGAGGCTGTCTGCTTTTCCAGGAGAAAATAATTTCTCTGAAGTTAATGAATTAAGCAGTGTGCAAAAATTTCTGCTCAAGAGTACTTATTTAAGGAATAGATATAGCCTACATTTAATACGTGACAGTGTTTTTGTACCTTAAATAGTCTTTTCCAGCTTCAATAATTTATTTATCATTCTTTCCTTTCTATATGGAAAATTATTTCTCAAGGTATATCTGTACTTTAAAACAGAATTGTCAAATTTGGAAAAATTTAAACAATACCCTTGTTTGAAGGTCTGTGTTCAATTTATTGATACTTACGTGCTGTTACTGAAGGACGCCTTCAAGTATATTGGTGTTCTCCCAGAAAAACAGAAAATGCAGGCTCCAAGCTTTGAGGACAAAACTCTGTAGTAGAATTTTTACAATCCAATGCATTTGGATACCATCTTAGAAACTCTCTGTTTTAAGTGCTGTGCCTCGACATGCCTAGTTTTATTATTTTCTAGAAGAGTCTCTGCTTTTATAAGTAGAGTGAAGATAGACATCCCTTGTGCATCTGCCTAAAGCAGTTTAAGTAGTTATTGGTGCAATTACTGAAATATTTCAATCTATTTTATGTTCTTAGTCCATCTCAGTATAACTAATGAGTTGTAATATAAACTATTATTAACTAGTTATTATATAAACTAAGTAAAACTAATGAGCTTAAGACACATCTGAAAATGTTTTAAACTAACTGCTTTTATTTGCCATTAAATTAATTAGGAATACTCTCTGTCATCAGTTTTAATGCTTTTACTGGAGGGAAATAATTAGCATTTGGAGGAGCTCCAACTAGATTGGCAACTGTCAATATTTTTATCCATAAATAATACCATCTTTCAGATAGCTTTTGTATTTTCATTCTTTAATACAATGATAATAAAATTCTCAGAGAGGCTAGGATTTGTCAGAGACAGAGCAGAAGTCATACAAAAATGCCCAAGTCTGTAGGCAGATATCCAGATACTTTAACTGAAAAACTACAGCCAGATCTAGAGTTGCTTATAATTCAGAAGATTCTGGATCCTTTCTTTTTTAAACTGAGTTTAAATTTCCAACCTTCTCCCTTTTTTTTGGTGGGGTTTTATGGAGGGTTTTGGGGGGGTTTTTTGAGTATATGATTTATATAAAGGTTCATACTCTGAAATGCAGTTTTGGCCCAAAATCCAATTTTCTAGTAAAGGCTCTTAGAAGAGTTGTAATTTTTTTAATTGAGTCCACATTAATTTTAGTACGTTTACAAAAGAAAAAGTTGTTTAGGGTGCCAATCTGAGCTTTTAAATGGCATTTAGAAGATTTAATGTGAATTATTTCCTATAGACCATCACTTGGAATGGTATTTCTGACCACATTAAGTCAGTAATGTCTCCCAAAATCTAAATAATCAAGTGGATTCTGTGTCTTATTTATCTTGGCTCTTTAGTTGTTATGGGCATTCTGAAAGAGCACAAGCTGGTTTTGGTTTGAGGTCTTTTTAGTACCATACAGAAAGCAAAATTGTAGTACTCCATATCAGATATGAAGAAATCTGTCAGGGGAAACGGATGTCTTATGTCCTGTGAACTATTAAGGGGGTAGCCAGGATTAAAAGTTTATTGGCTCTGAGTTTGTCACTCTGAAAACTTTTGTCCACCCTGCTTTGGCAAATGAATTTAACAATTGCTGTCCAAAGAATAAACATTGAATGGTGTGATGTTCCTGAAAAACAAAGTGTCAAGCCTGTTCCTGGGTGGCTTATGATGGCAAAGCTTGCAGGAACTCAGTCAAACATAAAGCAGTCTATGTGGTATTAAGTCTTCCGTCTTTTTAGTTTTAAAGCGTAAGCTCTGAAGAAAATAATGTACTTTTCTTTCAGAAGAGAATTGAGTAGAGTGGTAGAGTGATATCTGGGGGGGGGGGGGGAAAATCGCTCCTTTACCTTGTGACTCATCTTTTCAGTGTAAATCAGTTACTAAGAATGTCTAATTCTGAAGTGATGTGTTTTTTTACAGAGCAAGTCCTTCTAGATCAAAATGTTCAGACTCCTCCCCCAAGTCCTTTTTCAATACAAGCTTTCAGTAAGGGAACAAGCTGTAGTAATGGACAAGGGTTTGATTACGGCCTCGGAAATAACAAAGGTATGTTTTTACACTCACATTTTATAAAATTGTTTTCTTGACTTTGCTATTGTTGTTACTCATGTCCTACTCTTTTTGGCACCATCAGATGTTCTCCAAAAGACATAAGTAGTAGTGCAATGAATTGCAAGGTGTTTTGCAAAACATGTAGTTAATGTTGTAAGTATTTTTTTCTCTGCTTTGATTTCACTCAGTCTAAGTAAAAAGTATAAAAAGGATCATCAAAGATTTGTAAGTTACAGTTGAAACTTTTCATAGTGGTACACACAAAACTATAATGCAGTAAAAACAGATACTCATAAAACAAGATGTGAAAATTAGTGGATTTAGAAAGCATGGGGTTTAAAATTACTGGAAACATTTGTAAATACTTTTCACCTATCTTGACATTTTTAAAGTGCTTTTAATAGAGTGAGAAGATAAAAGATACCATTTGAGATTTAATTTGAAAATCTGAAGTTACCTTTAAATCACAGAGATACCAGCTGGGAAATAAATAAAAATTTGTTAATTTTACTGACATAAAACATTTTTTTTCTTTTAACCATGATTTATTTTGTTTGCAAGATGTAAGCCATCACAGTAAACTCAAACTACATCCCTTCTGTTTGTTCATTGATTAGATGTAGAAGATTTAGTAATATATCGTCCGCTGAGGCAGATGCCCTTGAAAAATATTACTGAAACAAAGAGCTTTGTTATCTACTCTTACTTCGCTGTACTCTGTCCATGCCACTATGAATATGGGCCTAAGGTCTTCCATGTGTTTTTAACACCAGTACATATTCGTAGTGGTCTCCTAAAATAACTTTATTTAAGACTTGTTTTAAAGGAGAAGAGATGAGGGGAAAATTATTCCTAAATATTCTAGTCTGTTATTTTCATAATATGAAATAGTTTTATATCATTTCACAGTGTTGCACAGCATAAAGAAGCAGTTCATACTTGTCCCTGCATTTCTATAGGAAACCCTTTTTTTGGACAAAGGCTGGACAAATTTAAGTGTTTTCCTTTTGTTTTATAGGGCTTTTTATACAGAACTGCATTTCCCAACTCAGCCATACTCATTGCAAAATAGTGGTTGAATCACAAAAGTGAAAGTGTTTTAAGATGTTCAGCGTGTAAGGCAGTATTACAGTTTATTTCTCAATGTCAACTGTGTAATAGTGCAAAAGTATTCTCTGTTATCTTTCTTCAGAAGCATATTGGGAAAAGAATTTTTTTCCTGTGTTGTCCAAAGATAAAATCTTGGAAATCAATATGCTATATTAACAGGCATCCTAGTTTCTGAAGACATTGTGATTCTTTTTACTATCCCCATCTTAAACATTTTCTAAGAGATATGTTTCTGTGGGATATTACAGTAAGTTTGGAAGCTATTCCTGGCATTGAATTTCATATCATTTTTTAGACATTATTCTCTTGTCATATCCTCAGGCTGTGATGTTTAGTGTGAGTGAGCAACTCGGCTAGGTGACTTTATTCATTCCGTGTACTGTAATTCTTTCTGAATTGCCCAAGAGTGGAGAGTTGTTAGCAACTGTATTGAAAGAATAATGGTATTACTTTCCCAAAAATAGAATTCTTCAGCTGTATCATTACTTTACGTACAGTCTTTTTTGCATCCTTAGGTCTGAGAAGCTTTGAGTTTTGTGGAGAATAAGAAACTGAAGGCACAAGCACAGTCTGTTAGGGGAGTTTCTGAATGAAGCAGTTCTTTTCTGTAGGGATGCCCAAGTTTCAATTAAAATTAAAATTTAGTCACTGTCTAAGAGCATTTCAAACTGTTGGTCCAGTGTATAGATCCACATATATTAGGTCTGTGTTTACAGTATTACCTGCGACGTAGAAGACACAACTCCCACAATCACTCTTTTTGATTTAGCTATGTCTTCTCTATTCCAGCCTTCTACATTGCAGGCAAGTCTTTAATATTCCTTAGGAATGGCCCTGCCCCCCTCCATATGTAATTATTGTAGGCAGGTTACTTTCAACCTCTTCTCAAATGTTCTTACTTTTAAAATAATTACTCATTTTATCAAATAGGCCTGTTGTATTTAAGAGTAATAGTGTTTTGCCAAACAACAGTCACTTCTGGGTTATTAAAGTAGGAATGATTGCTGCCCAAGTACTGGTTGCAGTATTTTTTAGATATACTACTTCCAAAACAGTAGAATAAGATTGATTTATTGATACCTGTAGATGATTATTTAAAAAGGAGTTCCATCTATTTTCTGGTATTTTTGTTCTCTCAATTTTGAAACTAAAACGTCAAGAAAATAAGTGCAAAATTTAATTTTGGAGTTCTTGGGTAATACAGGGTTCCATATACCGACTGGTCTTTAATTCCATTAAAAGACAATTGATGATCACCCAAAAATGTTGTAGATTCAGTGAGTTGTAAATTCTCTATTAGCTGCTAATTTTTTTACTAGGATTTCTGGAATGCTGTCAAAATGATATGAATTTGCAGAATAAAGTTGCCGTGTCAGGATTTTGGTTGGTGATGGTTCAAATCTGAGATGCTCTCAAACTCTTGGTGTCTCCTAGCTCATATTACTAAGTATACTTCAAGTTATAACATGGTGTGCTAAACTCTGCCTTCTTACTGTAGGCTTCATGTATTTCTAGTGCTCACATAGATTTTTCTGAGAATTGGCATTCAGAAATTAAAACCCTGGTTTTAACATACTAGTTTTTTTGAAGGCCACCTTTTGCCTCATAACAAATGTATGTAGTTCTTCAGAAAACCAGTTCCAGTTCCTAAGTGATACTTATTTTTTTTTCAGTTTATCTTCAGTCTGATCTTGAAAAACAACATGACAGAATACTTTTAAAGATATTTGCGAAAATGAGCAGATATTTGCCAAAGCCTTGGCACAGAAATATACTTGCCAAAGCCTAATTACATGTTATCTTTCCCTTCTCATCAATTTTTCTAATCTTTTTCTGCATGTTCTGTTGCATGTGTGTGTTATTGTAAATGCTAGGGATTTCTGTTTTTATTTTGGTTGCTTTTCATTTTTTAGCAAGGCAAATATAAATCTTTATTTTGGAATGTTTTAAATAATAGTAGTAAAATATCCATGATTCTTAAAAACCCTGTTTGTACTTTTCAGTAATTTTATTGCCATGCATGGAGTGAGATTTTCATGTTTAGCCACAACCAGAGTGGAATGTGGCTAAATAAGATTTACTCTTATCATCATCTAAACTTTAATTGAGCACCATTTTACTTTGCCTTTCTGGAGAATGACAAGTAACAGGTTGTAGTTTTGACTGTTTTGCCCGCTACAGGTGACCAACTGAGTGCCATACTGAATTCCATTCAGTCACGGCCAAATCTCCCAGCTCCTTCCATCTTTGATCAAGCTGCAAAACCTCCCTCTTCCCTAGTCCACAGTCCATTTGTGTTCGGACAGCCCCTTTCCTTCCAGCAGCCTCAGCCACAGCTTCAGAGTAAGTTTGTCAACCTTACCTGCCTCATCAGTCCATTTCTGCAGCTTTGACATTGCCATTCTCAGTTGCTTACCGGCTACTAATCATCCCTCAGTGCACCTTTCTGGTTTTGTTAAGTTTTTCATGATTCAGAAGCATGTGAGGTAACGCTCCTAAGGAAGTATAGTTGTTCAACTTCAATTCCTGTATTGACACTATTTTGCTTTGGTATGTATTCTGCAGTGTAGCTCAGTCATGAAAAGCATTTCCAATATTGTATGCAACTCTGGGTTTATAATTAAGGTAAATATTTTATACAGTACAAAATTATGATAATTATTTCAACATCAAAAATAGACTGCAGTAAATTCATAGTTATTAAATTTTCTTACCTCCTAAATTCCTATTTTTGACATCATCCCTAACTTTAGGGATGTAGCTGGACAGTGGAAACAACTTGGCACTACTCATAAGAAAGGCTTTGGTAGTCTTCTGTTGGGTGCTCATAGGATGGCATGGACATAAAAGTTTGCACCTGGAGGTGAATAGCAGTTAACCTGATGGCTGATGGGAGGACAGGAAACTGTTTAGTTTTTGATTAATTAAAAATAAAAGCTCAGCAGTCATGATAGATAGCAGATATTGCAGTAAATTCTTCCTTATATACAGAACAAGAATAGCATGGGTCACAGGAATACTAGTCATCTCCTGTTTCCCATAAACTGTTCTTAGAAATGCCTCAGTTCTTTCTTGCAGGACCCTGTCAGTCAGTTTAGTCTCTATGTCTGTGCAGTCCTGGATCTATCCATGTCAGCTTACTGAAGTGACAGTAAAGTGATTCATGTGAGAACAAGATTAAAATCTCTAATTCACTTTTATGAAGACTGTCAGAAGTATTGTGACAGTGATCTTCTGTACTTAGGCAGTACTTAAATCAGTGTTCTGAAAGTAGAATATTCCAAAACCTTCTCAGATAAAACAGCTGATTGCCAGTGGCATCGGCACAGCGTCATGGAGAATTTGGATATTCTTTCCCATCACTTCTAGTTTTCTTCTCTTGTTCAGAGTAGTAAAGTCAGAGTTTCTTATTCACCTTTGCATCAAAAATAACCCTAACTGTCTTGTTTCAAACTTCAGATGTTTTGTCCTTTAGCATTTAGATCTGTATTGTATGAAAAGAAAAGCTGTCAACATTTTTTTATTGGCTGCCCAATGAGATCTTGTTCAATGGATTTGCTTGTCCAGCAGATATAGATAAAATGTATTCAGTAAAACACAAACTACATCCGTGGTTTGTGTTTTAATAAAGATCCTTGATTCCAAAGGAAACCTTTTTTGTCAGAAAGGGGGAGCACTGGTAGCCTACCAAATAAAATAATAATGAAACTGGAAAACGTTTTCAAGTTTGTATCCGATTTGGATCTTAGCTTAGTGTAAGATCTCAACTGATAGGGGTATTTGCCCTTCCAGCAGGGTAAAATTATCAACCAGAACTAGTACACTGTTGCACGAACTGTATTTTGATACGAGGACTTTCTTCTGAACAGTTTATTATCTAATTTAAGATGTGATGCAAATAATGTAAATTTTGCTTAAAGGGGAGAAATATTAACATTTTTGGTTTCACTATAAAAATTTAAGAATTATATGGAGGAAAATTTCTCATTCAGACTTCCTTAGTCTTTTGCAAATTTGTTAATCCTCCATTTACAAATTCATAAAATTTCAGAATATTGTCAGGGAGGCCTGTAAGACTTCATGTACTTGTTCATTCAATAGTCAAGGGAATTATCAGAGATACTTGAAATTTAAATAAGACTCTCTAGATTAAACGTTTTCTTTTAAGCAATTATTCTGTTATTACTATATTTATTGAAACTTTACATATTGGAAAGTAATGGATTAATTTGCAGTTTAAGATTAATTAGAATAGCAAGGCATATATGCAGTAAAAATATTTAGACAGAAAAGTTCTATTTGGGTTGAATTCTGCTGTGTGGTTTTTAATCTGTTCAATGCTGATGCAGCTATAATAGAACTGTAACAGCAACTCTTTGTAACTGTGCAATTTTCATTTGCTATTTCCAAAGCACTTTATAGCCTCCTGCTATCAAACGTGCAATTAAAAGTTAAATCAATTAAACAACATATCCCAAGGCTCCTTATCAAGTCACTTGGATTTTTGTCCTAGACATGCTCAGTTTTAGTATCAAATGATATGCGCCCTGTCCTTAAGTGCTTCCTGCAGTAAAGTTTGATCTGAAAATTAAAATGAATGTTTATAGTCAATAACTGCTATATTAAAGGGACTAATGATAATCTAATAGTTTAAAGAAGTTGTGCCAGCCTAGATTTCCATGACTGCAGAGGTTATATACTAAATACCAATTTTGATTGAAAATCTACCTAAATAGTTTAGTCTACCACTCACATTTTCTGTTCTTCCTCAGATATCTGTCTTCCTGGGGAGAAATTTTATTTGGAAGCATGATTCTGAGGAAAGTTAGGATCATACTGAATGTCCTCTGGAGTTATTTCCTTAATTTAGGTTTTTGTAATAGGAAGAAAAATGTTGGTCTGATTGTGAGACATACTCTGTGACACAGATTGTAGTTTTTCTTCAGAAGGGTTTGTAGCTAGCTGTTCTTTCTGAGGAATGGTTTCTGTACTTGGCGTTTGCTTTGGTTTCCAAATGTATTTAGGAAAGAGGGAGAGGGCTTGTCACAACCTTTTATCTTTCAATAGTGTCTCGTTTTGTTTTTTTGTTTTGTTTTGGGTTTTTTTGCAGAAATACTACAGTTTTGGACAAGTACTTCCTCAGATATAGTGCTTGAAAAAATGAGAATTGTCTCTGTTATTCTTTTCACATCATAGATAGGTAAACTAACAAGTGTCCAGTGTGTTTTCTCAAATGATTTATTACAGAAAGGATATTATAAAAAAGAAGAGGGAACTGTGATACTCAGTTTTGTGTTATTTACTGGAACTCTATGAAGGACTGATTGTTCTGTCCTACTTAATTCCTTTGCTAATTTTCACACATGTTTACACAAGGGAAAAAAGCTGAGAGATTGTTTTCTTTTTCACAGGGACAGACAAAATTAAGATGCTCTTGTCCTGTATTTTAGTTCTTTATCAGTCTTTTATGCAGCTAAAAGTTTAAAAAAGCTGGAATAGATGGCATAACCTACCTGGAGTTCAGGAACAGCTGTAATGACTTGGAATCTTAGCAAGAATTTTTTTCCAGAAAGAGCACAAGTTTCTGTATATTTCTTCCTTGATTATTTCAACAAAACAGTCTGTAATTACTGAAGCCTGAGTGTGCTTGATTCTGAGGAGTTTGTAAGATCATCAGTAACAGATTTGCTCAGGACTGCAACCTCCCCATAACTGCAGGATTATTAATAGTTGCTGCATTAATTTGTCTCTGAACTTTGTGAAGACCATAAAAACTCAAATTCTTGCTTGGATTTTGAGTACAGGTGAAGTGTGGAAACCTAGAGGGAGATCTTGTTTCTCAACCTTCATCAGTATGTGTTGGGTCATAAAACTTAGATGTGAAAAGTCAGTGAGGCAGGATCTTTTTGCTGTTCAGCATATTCTCAGAATTTCACAATTGTCTGTTGAAATCTGAACTTGGGGAGGGAAGTCTGAGACCTAGCTGTTGTCAATGTTAGACCTTTATGCTGTTTCCTCACATCTGTGTTGCTGTTGCAAATGAGGAATAGATTTATAGGCTGAAGAGGCTTTGGACCTCCCTTGTTAGCGTCATTTGTCCCATTCTCCCTCTTCCACTGCATCCCTGGCAGCTCACGGAGCAGCTGCACAGCACAGCTACTGCTTCCTGCCACATCTCCATCCAGGCAGAAGCTGCAGTGCTGAGCTGCTGTTCTCTACGTTCATAGTGTCCTGTCAGGCTACTGCTTTGCCAATCCATGCTGCAGAGCTGCAATCCAGCATATGGGCCCACAGTATATTGTCATCCCCTGCCATTCATGTCAGGAGTTCCTTGACCTAGTAGTATTGTGCTACCATGTTCTTGTTTGTTTTGTTCCTTTCCTTTCTAGGTGCTAGTTACAGAGCATTAGAACCACTGGCTTTGCCTGCAGTGCTCCATCTGTGTTTCCTAAACGGCACACATACAGAGCACATAAACCTTCTCAGTAGTGTTTTAGTAAAATAAATGGAAAGCATATTCTTAATCAACCACGCTGATCTCTTCCATATCATGCTGAAATGACTTGTCATGTAAAGCAGTCAGAGTATTGGTTTAACTGTTTTTTCACGTGCAGCGTATTGCCAAAGCATCATTCCTGAAAATTTGAGCCAAGAAGATAAACAGTTTCATAACCTAGGCTTTACAGACCTAATAATGAAAGATATGTATGAAGCATACAGGTCAGTCCGAAACTATCCCTGGAGTCTGGCATGGTAAAGTTTGGAGGAAGAGCACAAGTTGTTTCAAGCTTTATTTTATAAATACATTTTGCATATCACATCTTCAAAATTTGAAGTTACAAATTATAAACTTACAGAAGCATTTTTATCTACCCTTCTAGCACAAGAATACTAATTTCAGTTAATAAACTTAAGTGGCTCTAAACTGGTGCTCTAAACTGTACCTTTGGGTAATCAATATTACTAATATTTTTCTAACGATGCTGCATTTCAGCTTTTGCTTTCATTCACTCACTCATTCCCCTACTATAACAGTATCTAATACTTTTCTTCCTTTTTAATATTTCAAACATTTGTTGACTTCAATATATTCTTTTACTGAAGAAAAAAAGAGTCCTGGTCCAACTGTCACTATGGCATTTGGCATTTTCAGGATGTGAAAAAAGATACATTGCTTGCAGTGCCTGAGGAAATTAATCTAACAGCAATATTGTAGCTTCCAGTAACAGCGAGTGAAAGAGGATTGCATTCTTTTTGAAGAAGCATCCATGGCTTAGGCAAAAGGGCAAAAGCAGGCCAGTGCCTTTCCTTCATCATCATGCAGAAAAGCAGTGGCATTTCAGAAGAAACTTTAAAGTTAATCTCCACTCTCCAGAGACATTTTAGTAGTCTGTTTTAGAGTTTAAAAAAGACCAATGTGGACTATTTGGTGGTATGTCATGCCTCCTGGCTTGGCTTACCACTGTTTCCTCCAAGGAAGCAGGCAAGGCTGTTAGAAGACTACATCCTGCCATAGGACTTGAACTGCCTCTTTGGTCTCCATATTGCATAGCTTTCCAAGCTAGAGCTATTTGCGTGTTGAAGGAGAGAACGTGACTGAAGATAAGCTGTCACATTCGAATGTGATGTGTGACAGAGCTTGCCTATGTGTCTTTGAAGTCTTTCTAGTCTTTGGGGGTGATCAGAAAAAGCAGGA